ATTCAATTAAATCCTATGTACTTGATGGGGCAAAAATAAATTCTATGATTATACTTCACAAATCGCAAGGCATTTTTCTCTTCTGAGTCTTGGGGTATGATTGCCTCAGAAAGAGAAACCAAAATTTCCTCCTCTCCACAGATTGGTTCTAAAGAGGTGCCTTCGCCTATGTGGGGCACGATACACTTTGATATTTGCTGGTTTACATCATGTTGCAGTTTTTGTGGATAGCAGAAAAGTTTGAGTCCAAAATGTCCACGAACTCTGGTCTCACACAGGCACGTAAAAAATCGGGCATACTGAGGCCTCGACCTTTTGCAAAGTTTTCTTACAAACTCATTGAAGTCTGAAGCAGATTGTGAAAGTAATCTGATCAACTTGATTGGGCGGAATCTATCAAATAAAAGGAAAAACCAAATAGAGCTCAAGCAACCAAACGGAAATGATGAACAGCCATTGCACAGTAACCTTGAGTGTACGTACTCCAGTAATCGTTTCAATAATTAAATCTATATTTTATTAATAAATACATGCATGTATGACTGTACACTAAAATACTGTTAAATTTCCTCTGCGTCTTTCGTGCTACTTTTCAAATAAAGCCGACAAGAAATACTTACCCGGAGAAATGCCTAACTTTGAATTGCACTTTCCCATCTAGAAGACGTGGCGGTTCATCCAATTGATCCGTAATGTCTTTCCAATCATGTGGTTCGGCAAGAGACTCAGAGTGTAATATTCTCAGTTCACCAGGACATAACTCTGCCAACTCTTGTTTTCCTTTACTGAGGGTGAGAGGAATCCTTATTGTTACAGGCGCGACGAGAGTAACATTTTGAAAGCCTGAAATGTAAAGAACTGGACCGACAAGTCCTTCCTCTCCTTTTAACTCACTGCTTGGAAATTCTTGTACCTTGATTCAAAAGCAAAACAGGTTATGTTGGACATGTTAAACTGCTCCCAGCATAAAGTTCATTTGTATTCTTCACGAAATGAAGAGTGAATTTCAGGATGAAATTTGATTATCTAATAATAGTATACAATGTAAATGTCCTCTTAAAGTTTAATGTAGCATTAATATAAGCACTATTATTAAAAAAAAACTATACACTGAACTTACTATAAAATATCTGATTAGTCAAGAGCATTCAATGAAAAAACAATAACGCGTAAAGTTAACATGATAACCCAATATCTGCAGCAGAAATTGCAGTTATCATGTTGAGTTCAACCTTTGCCTAGTTTCCAACGCCCTCTGTCTGTGTAGAGTTCTTAAACTTTTTAAAATTTAGAAAGGTGTCTTCTTTTATCAAACCTTATGTCTGCGTGATCTTCAGCTTTGGCAGATAACTCAAACCTTGGTTTTGATAATGCATGCTTTCATGCTCAACTTCATCCAC